AGCAGGAGTATAATGGACCAGGCGAGAAAATAACAAAAATAATGAACAACCATATACCAGAGACATTTTGTGGAGGTGGAGTGGGGAATGGGATCAAAAACCTGGGGAGGGGGGAGAGAAATGCACGGGATTATGGTGATGGCACACGGGTGATTTGGTGATGGGAAACCCGCGGGGATTACAATCGTGATGGAAAAAAAATGTACAAAATGATGTAAAAATAAACTTTTGTAATAAAAAAAAAGAAATATCCCTCTTCTCTCTCTATGCACACTAATTTTATTAAAATTTTATTACACTAAGGGAAAAAAAAAAAGAGTCTTTCCCAGCTAGAATGGCTGTTGGTAAATTTGCTTTGTTTTTGCTTTGAAGGAAATATATTAAAATAATGAGAGTTTGAGAAACCAAGGGGGGGGGTGAGGGGAAGTGAGGAGAGAGAGGAGAGAGGGAGAGGGAGAGGGAGAGGGAGAGAGAGAGAGATCTCCCAAAACAAGATCATCTGGCTCAAGAGTACATTTGGAGAAATGAGATTTTGTTAGTCTGAATCTGAAGGCATTTCTTTCCACAGTCACTGTAACAACCATGCTGGCCACCCTTCACTGCATTTCAAGCAATACAGTGAGAGCAACACATGCATGGCCTCATTTAATTCTCACCACAACCCTAACATCTAGGTATTATGTTGGCAAATGAGGAAATTGAGGTTCGGAGAAGTTAAATAAATAGCCCAAGAGCACGAAACCAGAATGAAGGAGAAGAAATCCCTCAGGTCTGTGAAACTCCACCACTGGGATTTTTTTCCCCTATGAAGCCAAACCACTTCCCTTTAATGAGTAGTTGTAGCTCTTTGTAGATAAGCAGTTAATTTGCCATCTACTGTTGTCCTTGCTCTTGACTAAGCTGCCCATCTTGGGTGTATTTTTGCCTGTTGATTAACATCCTTGCTTATTGCCCAACTTGGTGGTGTTGGTACATGAAGTTGTTCGGCCTGTGACACTTTCTGATTGAAATAAAAATGTTTATGGGAAGGTTGATACCTTATTAAGAAATTAAGAAGACAGTTGAAAGAAAGCCTGTGAGGTAAACAAAATCCCAGGGTGAGGCTCCCAGCTGAAGGAAATGGAGCCAGGTTAAGGAAATAGACAGATGTGGTTGCTTTGTGATTAGACCTAGAGCAAACTCTCCCTGGGCTAACAACAAGGTGTGAGGAGTAGATAAGTCTAATACATAATTCTGGAATTTGTCAGTCACATCCCAGCTGCATGACATTGGTGAGTGCTTTATCCCCATTTCACAGACATGCAAGTAGAGGCTTAGGGAGACCAACTCCAGCTGTCCTGGAGGGGTTGCTGAGAGGGTCACATGTTGAATGTGCATAAATATGCTGTGTCAGAAACCACCTCACATGCCTGTCAGCATTATTATTTCTCTGACTCCGGGTGAAGGAGCCCTCGTGTGTTTTGTTTTCACATATGCTCCATGCCACCATCACCCATGCTTCATGAGTCAAGTCTGAGTTAATGAGGCTTCCAAAATGCCTCACAAGTTCTGCAACACAATTGTGGGTGTTTTTATGAGCAAAATATATTCTTAAGAAGTTTCTACTGAAAAAGAACTGATTTGTAGCTGACACTAATTAGTTAAAACATTAGCATAGTGGTCTCTTCCTGGGGAACATGTAGCCTATATCACCACTTCTCCTTCCCCTGCGGGAAAGACTATGAACATTTGGGGACTGTTCCCGGGCATTAGGGAGTCATGTAATTAAACACCTGACTTTTCTGCCATTTTACATTTTCCTGGTATGCTTTGCCACATCTCTTAGATCAGTGAGCAGTCTTGAGAGCTGGTTCTTTGTACACCAGAATTGTAAATGACTGAGCAGAGGGCATCTTCTGATGCAATCAACAAGCATTTGTCTTCATAGACCAACCAATCAGTTCTTTCTCAAGCACCAATTACCATTAAAAGATGTCCAGGAAAACAAATTAACCTGATTTTTTATCTCAATCCTATCTCCAAATCACTGAAAATACTGGAAAAAAAAAAAAGTGAGCTCCACTTTAAATGAAAAGTATTATTCAAAAGCCAAAAGGTAAAGTTTTAGAATGAACAAAGATGGTAGATGGGGCCCTAGTTCTCCCAAACACTTTGGTCAGCAGGACTGGGGTGAGCACTAATTAGGGGAAAAAAAAAAAAGAATTTTTGTTCTATGATATCCTTAGGGTCATTGTTTGCTGTGCTACTGGAGTTTCTAAGTTACTGGTTCTCCTGATAATTCTGATAGTTTTGGAATCTAGAGATTCAAGGTACAAAATCTGATCTACACCTGAAGAAATGCATGCATTACTTGATTAGCTTTTTGCCATTTAAGCCATTTACTTGAGTTCCAATTTATTCAAGGCCTTGGATCTTAACCCATTGAACTTAATCTAAAGCAATTAATTTGGAACTTTCAGGAACAGGACTGATAATGTGGCAAATGCTTAGAGTACAGATAAGTGGAGAGACTTTCTCAATTCTGCCATAAAATTACTCTGGTTCTGTTCTAATAGCAATGCCAGGCTGTCATTTGGGATGAATCCCAAGAGAATTCAGAACTGGCCAAACCTGTCCATAAAGAGTTGAACACATATTCTAAGACTGGGTGTCTGTACTCATATCAGGAAATAACACAACTCTCCACGTTCCCTTAGGGGTCTTCCGGTTATCCAAGGAGTGATATTTACCAAGCATTGGTAATCAGATCAGAAATTTTCATCAGAATTGAGTTAACATCAGTTCAAAGAGTCACAGAATTTTACGTTCCAGGAGCTTCCTTTTATAGCGAAACCCAAACTCCGGTGGCCTACAGGATCTTCTCTGTACACTTTTCCAACTTCGTCATCTTTCATCCCGCTCTCACCAATCATCCCTACTCCAGCCACCCCACACCTTCCTTGGGACCCTCAAAATCCATCTAAAATTTCCTCCTCCTTGGGAAACTCTCCCTTTCTCACTGACGGGCCTCCCTCCCATTCTTCAGGTCTTCGTCAAAGGTCCCTTCCCAGGTAGCCTCTTCTGTTGAGGTTTACTCCTTCCTTCCATCCTCATATCACTCTATCCCCGTGCCTGTTAATGGACTTTGTGGCACTGGCTAATCTCTGAGTTCTTACTTGTGTCCTTTTATTTTTCTCTCTCCTTTTATTAGACTATAAGCTCTATGAGGGCAGCAATCTTTCCATGTCTTATCCACCATTATATCACCAGGACCTAAAACTTATTGACACAGAAGTGGTGCTCAAAACACATATATGGAGTGAAAGGAGGGATGGATGGAATGATAGAGGGTGGGTGGGGACATGGTGGATCAAGGGGATAAACAGAGGGAAAATTGGAAGACTAGGAAAGTATTTTTCTTCTTATTTTATGCTTCTATAGTGGTGGATCATACACATTTTTTCTTTCTTTTGAAGTTTTTCAGGTTAAAATGTTAGTAGTTTGCCAAGAAAAGAGGATGTGGAAATCACACTGAAATTAAGGTTCTTTCTTTTTCCTTCTCTTTCGGTTCATCTTTTGGTGAATTAGAGGACAATGCAGGCTTCTTAAAGGACTCATAAATATGGTTTACAAAGGCTATGGGCTGAATTGATTATACTAATGGTAATGACAAATAATAATCCTGTGTGTGTCATTACTGGCACATGACTCCAATGCCATATTCCTATATTCCATGACTGTCGTTCACAATTTTACTTAATTCTTAGAGCAGCCCAATGATGCCTGGATTCTGTATTAATTCATTTATAAATCAGGGCATACAAGTTTAGAGTGTGTCTAACTTGCCTAAAATATCACAGTTGGTAACACGAAGATCCTAGATTCACTTCAGAATCTGTCAGAAGTTGAATTAGGCATCCCTTCCCTAAAATTCCTGTTCCTGCAGCAAAGCTGGGCAAGTTAACTTTTGCGCTTAGTTTTATAATCTTGAAAATGGAGGTAACAAAGTGCCTATGTTTGCAGGCTATTGTGAAGAATAAATGAGTTAATACATGTAAAATAGTTGGAATAGTATGAAGCATATAGGAGGATTTTGGTAAATCTTATGATTTAATCAGAATTAAAATAATTATTATCTCATCAATAATAAAAGGTACAGTACAGAAACTGAAATAGTAGCAAGCATAAAGCAAGAATTTAATAACTCTTAAGCTATATTTTAATAACAATTATTAAAATGATAATAATCTCAATATTATATTTTGCTCTTATTGCTGTTTTTACTATCACACAGAGAAGAATACCAAAAAACTAATCATAATATTTAAGCTTTGTGGGGTCAGTAAAGAGTGCTTGGCTCTTTTGTCCAGAGAATATTCTGGATAAAACATCATGAAATGTTAATGCTGACAAGGCAGCCAAAGAATGAAGGAAATGTGTAGAATTGCTCTCTCCTGGCTGTTTCCCTACATGAGGCAACAGAACTGCTCTTAAAAACCATCCCACAGATCTTATTCCTGACTCAAAATTGCTCTTCATCTCCTGGGATACACTGTTAAATCTTTAGGAATTTTGGTTTCAATGAAGAGAGAATTTTCAATTTACACCATCCTCTACCCCTGGAGAGAAGGGAGGCTATGTGTTTAAGCCCATCCTTCATCTGATTATTTTATGATTTCCTTTCTTTAAGGGCTCAGTGGAAGTGATATTGATATGAATGGAGGAATGAACTTTTATACCATTACCACCATCATTGGCTTCATCATACAGAAATATGCATTGCACATTTAGAACAAGGATATTCACTCTAGAAATTCTAGGAAACAAAAGCAGACCCTAATGTCTAGTAGAAAAAGGCCTACTTTGTTTTATATATTACTGTGTAAAACACACAGTAAGCTCAGAATGGATCTAAGAGCCTCTTTCATTATATTTTATAACACCATACTGAGTTTACTTTACATTTTCATGAAAAAGACATATTCAGAAATCCACTGTTGCCTATGAATGAAGAACCAGTATAGTAATCAAAAAGACACATTATTGTACTAGCCTTTTGTGTTTTAAAAGCACAGTAAAACAAGGATGCAAACAAGCAAGTCCATGAAGAGGAACGTCTGCCTTATCAAGACCCTGGACCCTTCTGCCAGGCTACTCATTCCTGAAGTCTGAGTAAGAACTGACAACAGTCATATCACCATGTTTGGCTCTATGGAGATAAGAAAAATGTGTCAAGAGTGGATTTTTGTCCTTGTCAGGTGGAAGTGGGGGACCAAGGGGAAAAAGAGAGAAAGAAAGTAGAAGCCACTGGAAGACACCACCGGATGTGGAAGAGGATCCAAGAAGGAGTGAGGAAGAAAGTGTAGTTGACAGACTCATGCAGAGAGAGAATTTGTGACCCAGAATACCTGTGACAAATTGAACACAGATGTAATTTGTCTAATAAAGAGGCACACAGGACCATCACAGGGTCCAAAACAAATACATGTTCTGATTATAGATACTGGATACGAGAAGGTTCTGGACTGCAGGTGACCGAGCTTCCTTGATGGACTCAACTTCACTCATGTTCTCCTGGGCTAGTCTAGATTCCAGAACCACTGATCTTAAACACATATGAAATGAAGAAGAGACATTACTTAGATGACTCAAGCAAATAAGCCCACCCATGAATGCATCAAGAATTTTTATATCAATAGGAATATTAGCTCTCCCACTCTCTAGCTTTGTAATCTTAGGTAAGTTAATTCACCTCAGTGAGTTTTCATTGCCTTTTCTGTAAAGGTGAAAGATATCTGTCTGAAAAAGATGGGAATAATAACATCATCTTGCTGGAAGAAGTACATCTAATGGACAGGAAGGCCTCAAGGGTTTTGGTATATAAAAATAACAAGTTTATTATTATCATCCTGATCACATATTGTTAGACTCAAGATTTAATGTCTCTGGAACACAGTTTTCTCTAGATTTTCCAAGTGCCTTTACAGCTCCAATTCACCCGCTGTGATTTCATTTTTGCTCATGTGGTCTCTAAGCTGCCCTTCGTATAAGCATCTGTAAGTATCTCCATCACCCAATTCAGTGGTCACTGCTGTCTATGTGGCACCAGAGCACCAGCTCTGGGTCATGACAGCTCTCTGGTCTGTTGGCTCATCTTAGTGTTCCTGAAACTTCCCAGTTTCAACTCCTAATTGTTTTTTTCCAATGTGTCTATCTCTCCTCTTCCCTACCCTTCACTTACTAGGGTAACGTATCAGGAAAGTTTTTATATAAAGTGAAACTTTATATATTTTAGGCTTTGTGTGCTATATTCATAGTCTCAGTCACAACTACTCAACTCTACTGCTTAGCACTAAAGCCACCCTACACAATGCAGGAACAAATGAGCATGGCTACATTCTAGTAAGACCGATCAGGTGCACACACAATGTAAGTTCCATATAGTGTCCATGTGTTCTGAGTTTTCTTCTCCTTTTGATTTTGGTTCAGCAAAATAAAAATAGAAAAGCCATTCTTAACTCACAGGTCATAAAAAATAGATGGTAGAAAGGACTTGACCCACAGGTCATAGTTTTCCAGACTTTTCTAGACATTCCGGAAAAAAGAGATGCTCATCTCTCTCTCAAAATCTTTCTGAGACCCCTCTGTTTGGTCCACTCACTTAATCTTTCTTGCTGACAGGACTCTGATGTCCCTCAGGGCCTCTGAATCCCCCCATGACAGAGAGAAAACAAGCTTCCACTTACCACATGATCATGATAACCAACTTCATGACGATCTCATTCAAGATGTTGAAGAATTCTACCATCAGCTTGGCCTGTTCTCCCATCTTCCCCATGGCGATGCCAAAAGCAATGAAAAACCCTATCAGACCTGTGGGGGAAGTCACATCATACAGGACAGTTTAAAAAGCCTGATTCTTCCCCCTCATTCTTTTCCATTCCCAATGTCTGGAGTCCCATTGTCAATGCCGGTTACCCTTTGCACTTGACATTAAAAGACAGAAACATGGTATTTCACATTGAAAATAACTTTCCTCTGGAAAATTATGGCTGTCCTTAAAATTTTTACATAAGCAAGTTGAAACTGTAAGCAGTGTTAGTTCCTTGAAGAAAGTGAATTCATTTTCATTCCACATTAAAAAGCATGCTCTTCTCTCCCCTCCTCACTTATGAAGACTTGCATAAGCAGATTACAATAGTATATAGATGAGTGAAGGGAAGCTTGTTGGGACTTGGGATTTTCATGCAGACTTCAGAGTCAATGTTGGAATAGCAGAATCCAGCTAACCAATTGTCTTTCCCAGGGTTCTTTCTATATTGGTTGGGTATTGGCACAAATTAACCCCCGGCCGGTATGTTTCATTATAGGAAAATTTTACATAAAAAATATTTTTTTATAGCTATGTACCTCATGTGAAAGGGAAAGGAATGTCAGAAATCTAAATGGAAAGTAATGAAACTTCAAAAAGAGTTAGGAAACCCCAATTGATCCAGTTGGTTTGAATTTAGCCTGTGATTTATTAATTCATCCTAATTCTTTTCAGTGTCAAAATAATTAAACGATCTCTTTTTTCTTTTATTTTGTTCAGGATTATCAATATAGAACAGAATATTTGCTTCTTCCTAGTACCTTAGTTGGTCCTTTTCTCCCTTCACTTGACATCACTTAACTCCATCTAAGCCAAGCCCCAGGCAGTCTTTAGGGTCAACCCTATGCTCAGGAAGGAAATATTTAAGGAGCTCAGTACCCACCTCTTGATTTTAGAATCAAATGGTAGCAAGTCCTGGACCAACTGCAATACTCGGGTCTTATTTGTGTGTTGGCTTTTCCCTCATTCTCTGCATCTGATTCTCTGACCTAGGACATACTCTGTACTTTAGTTTGCCTAAGTCTACACTTTTCTCTCTCTGGAAGATTCTATCCAATCCACCCTTCCCCTCAGTGATCTTCCCCTTGGCCCAGAATCTCACCAAGACTTGCCCAGGGAGTGGGGCAAATCCCCATGCCTAACAGATGACTCCACTACTGCCTAGGGCTCTCTGGATTTCTTATTAACCATCACCTATCCGTCACCATACATCCCCCATCCTCTACTGCCAATTATTATTGACAATTGGTTATTGTCAATCTTGGGGTGCCAATTCTAACCACTTGAATGGCCTATAAATCAACATTGCTGCCCCCCTGGGCTACAAGACCTTGCTGACCTATCTCACTTTTTTTCTGAAATGCAGCATAAGCCAATCTGTTTTCCCTCTCTCCCTCAGTCCTCGGTACTCCCATACATCCCCTGTATCAATTTGGCAGGGCTAATTTCCAGTCCATCTCTACTGCATTTAATTTTCTATTGTGTCCAGTTATGCCTGGACACAATATGAAATAAAGTATACCATTAGAATTTGATTCTCTCAGAGGAGTTTCTTTGTCTCTGAATGTCTGATTTTACCTTTCCCCTTTTCACCAAACTATTCACCTGTCAACACCAAGTACATATCAACCAGGTAATTCAACTATCCTTTCTGGATCCTTTCTCTTTCAGAATAAAACAAACAAACAAAAGCGACATTTGCACTTGGGATTGTTTATCCTTGGTAGTTAACATTTCTCCTTTTTAGCTCTTAGTTAGAATTGGCCAAAAGTGATTGAAAAGTAAGTTATTTATTAACCTAAAAAGGCAAAGGCTCAGTGTGTGAAATCAAATCCAGACTAGGCCTGAATCCTTCTCTCAAGTTTGATAGGTGTGTGATGAGAAATTATATGTGAACATTCTGGCTGAAAAGAACCAGCAAGACTTGATTCAATCAATTTGGAAAATTAAGAGAAAATTTTAAGAGAAAATCTTGATGTCCCAAAGAAGTGGAACAAGAAAATTCCACTTACAGGATCAGCAGGAAATGACCAAATCTATGAGGACAGAGAGAGACTGAAAGGTACAGCTGGGGTGAGGGTAGAGCCCAAGAGTTAGCCTGGAGGTTTTCTTAGGGGAGAAGTGAGCCCTAAAGAAGGTCTGAGCCAAGCAAGGCTTTATCTTCACTCGGATAATGCTTGATCCTTGGGACTTTCCAAAGCCCAAAACAAAAAAGTTAAAAATTTCTCCATCTCCAGACTTGGGAAGATATGGAAAGAACCTTATTTCAATCATAATTTCTAACTGGGAAGTTTCTAAGCAGGTTTAACTTCCCTCGGCTTTCCAGAGTCTAAGCTGCCCTTGGAAACACATGTCCAGCTTGTCATGTCACTCTGTAAACATCGCCTTTTGAACTCACTCACTGGAACTGGGGTGTTCCATTTGGACAAAGCTCCCTTAGATTCAGTCACTGGGATTGAGAGAATAGTGAGTTATGTTGAAACTCCTGGTTAGAGCCAAAAGTCACGTGACTTCCCAGAATCCACCGAGCCTCTGGAAACAACCACAGAAATCTTCCGAATGATTCACCACAACCCCCAATACTCAACTTCCTCTGGAGTATAGAAGAGAGTAGGACATCTTGGCCCATGGGGGTTCTATCTTTCACTTATGACCTGTCAAGAAGGACTGAGGAGAACTGAGAAGATCCTGGAAGGGTCCCTGGGCAGTGGGACTATTATTTGGTTAATTTCAGTTGGACTTAACAGTGCCGATGGATGCTGAGGATATTTGCAAACCCTTCTCAGAGGCTCTCTTCCACTTCCTCTTTCTCTTTACACCTTTCACCTCCCATGGAGAGTCAACAATGTTTATTGATGTGGTATTGCCTGGCAACCTAGACTTCTTACTCCTCCCTTACTGTCACTTATCCAGCCTGTATCCTGCCAGGTCAAACACAAAAGAGCCCTCATCTCACTGAGGCCTTCACTTTTCAGTGACTGGGCAATCCTGCTCCTTTTACCCCTCACCATTCTGGACAAGTAAGGACTATGGTTATCAAATTTAGCATAAACAAAGAAACAGGATATCCAGTTAAAATTTGAATTTCAGGTAAACAATTAATACAATAGTTCTGTTTGAGTAAAAGGATTTTCTGAGCAATATTTGAAACAGACTTACACTGGAAAAGTTATTTGTTGTTTATCTAAAAATGACATTGAACTGGACATCCCATATTTTAGCCAACCATCCTGCAAGGACATGGGGAATTTGATTTCCTAGATGACAAAGTGGAAGAACCATGAAGCTCATCCATTTATAAACAGATCTCACTCAAATTATTAGAAATTTTGAGTGCAGAGATCAACATGCTTCTACCTGATTCAACTCCCGACTACTCATTTTTTCCAGCCTTTGACCAAATATTCCTATTTTTGTCTTGTAGATAGCTTTTAATGGCAGCTAGGCATTATGGTGGGAAGAAGGCCCAGGAGAGGATGGGGAGTCAGCCAGAAGATGGAATCTGGGTTGGAGTGTCTAATTGATCCTTCAGCTCTCTACCCACCTATCCACCTTTCTTAATGAGAGTCATCCACATGGATGGAGCACGTGGCCACTGTGATTGTGTTCTACCTATAAGAGCTCATTTAATCCTCTTAACAATATACAAAATAAATGCCAGTGCCAGCCCCAATTGACAAATGAGACTCAGAAAAGTTGAGTGACACAGCCATGATCAGGTAACCAGTAGATTGTTCACATCTGGCCTGCCTAACTACCTGTTGAATGCCTTGGAGATAGCCTCTTTAAAACAGGATGCAGACCAGGGGGCAGGGCTCCCTGGCTCCCTGGAAAGGTAAACAAGATAATTCCCTTTGATAAGCAACTTCAGGCACCACAGTCAACACTCTGCACTCCTGGTAGCCCTGCATTTGCTTATGGACTTGGAGATATCTTCCATGCTTAGCAAGGCACTGGCAGAGAAAGATAACTCAAAAAAATGTTAAAGAAAATGAGAAAATTGAAGGTGCACTCTAATGAAATGGAGACCAGGGAAAGTGGTTTGCAAGCACCATGCAGAAATTAAGAGAATGCGACCAGTGGGTATTAGTTCCCTGTCCTTCCCCACAGCCAACCTCTGGTCACCACATCCCCCTTGCTCCATCTTCTGCCCATCTTCCTCTTCCTTAACCTCAGCTGCTGGTCCCCACACATTTATTGCTCCCCAGAGAGTCCTCCTACTCCACCTGCAGGTCAGCAGAGTTGCTGGTCTTCAGAGAAGGCCCCCTGAGGGCCTCACCAGCAGGAAAGGCTGACGATTGCCACAGAAGCAGAGGCTCCCTCAGGGAGATGAATCCCAGGATGCCTACCTAGGACATTCATGCCGTCCTTGAACTCCAGGCCCTTCTTGAGAACCACCTTCGTTTCCTCAGGCACCTCTGTGACAGTCTCGTTCAACAGGGAGACCACAGCGCTGGTTGCATTGCCCTCGTCACTCGGAGGCGCCACCAGCACTGTCTTTGTCACTGTTTGAATCTAATAGAAGAAAGAAAAGACACAAATATGAGGAGACTCAAATGTCACCAAAAGCCTGACTTCTCTGATATTAGAAAGTTCCCACTGGTGTTAAAAATAATTAAGAAGTGGGCCCTCCCTGGGGGCGCAACGGGTTAGGATGCAGCACTGCAAGCTGGCTGCAGCCGCTTTAGTGCGAGTTTGATCCCTAGCCCAGAGATGACCCGCATGGCGCAGCAGACCTCTCCTGACTCACCTGCTGCTCCCCTCAGCAGTGTACTTTGTCTTTCTGCCTGTTCTGCTCCCCACTCTGTCTCTGGTGAATCCTCTCACTGCCCCTGCACCTCTGACTTGCATCCCAGTTCTGTATGAATAAATGAATCTTATTTATTTATATGTTTACAGAACTGGGGTATAAGCCAGAGGTGTGGTGGGTGAGAAGCTTCAACAGAGACTGAATGGGGAGCAGAACAGGCAGATCAACGAAGTACACTGCTGAGGGGAGCAACAGGTGGATCAGGAGGGGCCTGCCAGCCATGTGAATCACCTCCAGGGTGGGGGTGGAACTCATGCTGCAGTGGCTTGCTAGAGCTTCATAATGTGGTGCTTTAACCCATTGTGTCACCAGGGAGAGCCACTAAGTAAATATTTTTTTAAAAATTTAAAAAATAATTAAGAAGTACCAAAGAGAGGTTATGAAAATTGGGGGATTTTTTTTATGTTTGCATTGGACCAAGTGATGCTTTATTCCACAAAAGCTTGGATACAACTGTCCTCATCAGATGACAATTACAGAATGGATAGACATTCATGGGAAATGTCCTATAAGCTGTGTGACCCAGTCAGCAGCTTCAAACTGAGACACAGCTCTCTGTTGCCTTTCTTCCCATCATGCAGCTCTGCACCTTGGAGACTGTCTCAAATGTTCAACCTGGGGGTTCTTCATAAGTGTGACACCCACTTGATGATGCTCCTGGCCCCTGGTTCTGGATCTGGCCAATAATAAGGTAACCAGGGTGTTGGTCCAGGCCAGGTCAGCACCTTACTGTCCCTCTGTTATGTTCATCTCTACCTGGAAAAAAGTCTTCACAGACTAACTTATTTGGGCACTTTCCAGAGTTAGGTATTCCTGGAATTTCTGCCTGGGTGCCAGATGTGCCTGCTACCAACAGCCACCACAGTAGGGAAGTTGGGTCACATTTTAAATCTAGATGTAAGGTGGGAAGATGCCTATTCCTTCCGGGCGATGACGCCAATCCTCTTGCAATGTTTGCCAAGCGTCTCTGTGCAAATGGCCTCCTAAGAACCTCCCCTGTTATTCCTCGACATCTGTGCCAGCCATTCTATTTTTAAAGGTGCCAGGCACCCTGCATGCAAAGTGCTGTGAGAACTCACATAGAAGCCCCAAGAAACATTACCCCCAAAGGCATTAAAATAGAACTCATGCGGAATCCTAGAATGTCAGCACCCGTATGTAGTAGGGAACAGATGGCTGAAGCCTGAATAGACATGGAAGAGGAAGCATGGAGAAGTCAAGTGACTTAGAAGACGTCAAGGAGTTATTGGCAGAGCTGGGCTTCAACTCAAATGACCTGCCCTGAATTCTCTCCATCATTTGTGCTGCATAATAAATGACATAGAAACAGCTCCAGTACTGTGGACCCAAGTAAACCTTGCCGAACCGACCGGCTTCTGACACAGGAAAGGAGAGAGCACAACTTTCTTTGAGATGAGGCCGCTTGCTCCGGTGCACTTCTGCAAGGAGAAGAAGAAGCTAGAGCTGGATGTGTAAGATGAGACAGGCAGCTCATCGGCCCTTGGTCTGGGCAATCTTGGCATAAGGAAGGACTGCAGAAGGAAGCCAGAAAGTCATGCTTCCAGGAAACAAGTGGGGACCTGAAATTCACTGTAGACTCACCCTGAGATTGATAAAGAAGTCAAGGTGTGAGTTCACAGGGGAGATAGTCATGGACCTGATAAATGTTGGTCTGCAGGATCAGGTGAGAGACCTGATGTGGGGGGTACCTAGGAATACAGACTTGTCCTATAAAAAAAAACCTAAAGATTATTCTGCTGTGATTTCCTAGAAGTAACTGAAGGAAGCTGCTTTGTATTCTAGTTTCTTTTGCAAATGGGCTAATGGGAAATAAACCAGCCAGGATTATACAACAGCTGGGAAGTTCTGGCGAGTGGGGACAGTGACCCCACTCAGCAGAATTTTCTGTTTATAAAAATCACCAGTTTTTAAAAATAGATATGCCTGCATGCAGATTGTAAAGCATATATTGTTGCAAACTTTTGTAGGGACATTTTGCAATATTCAGTAAGTTTAGATTCTCAGTATTTTTTGGCAAGACATTTTAGCTTTGGGGGATTTATTCTCTATAAATACTAGGAAATTATTTAAAAGAAAAATATCATGACACCAAAATACTTATAAATGAAAAGCAAACTACAACAAGGTATGTATGATGCAAGAACACTTGGGTACAACTTTTTAAAGATTATGCACACATACATTTTATATATATATTATATCACATATATATATAATGTTTGTACAATATACATATACATACATATGTGTGTGTGTGTGTATCTATATGTATAAAACAAACCCCTCAACATCAATAGAGAAGGAAAGTGGGATTTGAGTTTTATTTTATGTGCATCATGCTATTTAAACTTCTTATGGTGCTCCTGCCTTACTTCCACAATTTGACAAATACCCAATCCCTGGAACTACCCTGGAAATTGTGATTCTGTAAAGTATGTGTATTTTTTAAACATATCCAGGTAGTTTGGTGACTACACCAAGATTGAGGACAACTGATTACTCTGGAGGGTTGTAGACACAGGTGATAAAAATGTATCCTTGGCTAATGCAAAGGCCAGAACAAAAAAGAAGAGAATAAACTAAAAACCAAGCAAAACCACACACACTAAAGGAGAAAGGAGATCCTGGAAGAGAGTAATCTTTAAAAAAAAAAAAAGTGGAGTTGGAGGAGGGAGAAATAACAAAACCAAACCCACAACTCCAAGCCCTAGATCCTGTCTCAGATCATATAAACCATTGACAGAGATCATTCATTATCAAGAAAATTATCCCACAACTGAGTGATTACAAGAGTTTTGGTTATCTTTAGATGTTAGGGGGCTGGCGAGAACAGATCATCAGAGTTACCTGTTGAAAACAGGCTTGAACAAGGTTTTCAGGGAAGAGATTTCGGATAAGGTCCAGGAAGGCATCCAGGCTGGACACTTCATCATTCTTCTTCCCAGGCCCCAACTGTTTCTTGAGTTTGGGGTTCCCAGGGTGGATGGCCAGGACCAGGATGACCCCCAGCACAGCAGCAATAATGGTGGTCGACATGTAATACACCATCGCTCTGGTGCCTAGGCGCCCGCTGGCTTTGGCATCCAAGCCTGACAGCCCTGGACAGAGAGGAAATCCAGAAGTAACTCCATGACCTTCCCAGTAACACACATTTCTGCCTATGTGTAACATGGCTTCAGATTATTCAAAGGCATCAAGGTTCGCTAAACTCCTGCTAAATATTTGGTCAGCCCCGCAGTTTATACAGTTCTATTTCTCAAGCACAATTTTAAGATTATAGGGAACTGGGGAGAGGTAGAGATCATCAGAGTTCCTAAACTGCTCAGTGACTACTTTCGTCAGCCTGCAAGAGGGCATTAATGTGAAGCTGAGTAAAGTCAACGTTTAATACTGAGGTTGTGGCCTTTTCAGGATTTGGTATCCGGGTGTCCTTTCTTTTATGAAGTGACAGGACCAGTACTTGCTAGTGTTTTACTAATTTATTTTAAGGTCCTCACATGGGAAAACAGAACACTGGAACCCTATGCCAAGTCTCAAAACACCTCACGTCCACATTACTGGTCGCTGAAATCAAGAGCCTGAAAGGGTGATCTTGCCGAAGCCTCTCATCCCTTCCAGATGAAGTGTGGTGGAGACCCACCTTTCTGATCTTCATGTGGGATTAGAGAGCACCTCGCAAATATGGAGGTTTGTGTACACTGAGGAAGGTCCTGTTATTGTGAGACGGAATTCCAAGTGAGTCACAGCCTTCACTGGGTATTTTATTTTCCAATTGTTTCTTTATGTTTTCTACTTCCTGATTTCAGTTCCATCTTGTACAAAAGTTGTACCCCTTTCTGGGAATCAGTCATTTTTTTTTTTTTTTTTTTGCAGAGAAGCAAGTCTTACTTTTGTGAATTAAGATCACCTGCTTCTCCTTACAACTAAAGTCTGATTTCCACCAGTGGTTGCTGGGTTTCCTCAACAGGTTGGATAATGTTCAATCTGTTTTAAAAGGCATGGTGCATGTTTCCTCTGAGCTGGGAAGGAGCATTTGTGGTGAAAGCACAGTTTCACTCAATCCAGGATTGCAGGAAACATTGTTCACACTAAACCCATTGGTTAACCAGCTATGAGATTCTAGGACTGCCTGGCTTGGCATCTGATTCTGTTGGAGTTACCAGAACCTTCCTTTCTTTTTTTTTTTCAGTGAGGCAAGGTCCTCAGCTTACTGGCTCCAAAATATGGACAAAAGTCCAACTTCATAGAGCTCAGTAGCTAAAAATCATCATTTATACCTTGTTTGAGCAATATTATTTATTAAGGAAGAGACTACCTATGCAAGCCATGGAAAGAAAAAAAGAATTCTTTCAAAGAAAACAATTCTCTTCACCAGAAACAATTAATGTGGTCTGTGCTTTAAGGATGCCTTTCTTTTGTAAAACTGAAAGGACTTTCATAGCTTATATTTATTTTTAATGCCCACTTCCCTCTATATCCAATGCAATAGAAAATAGAACATTTTTCTCAATTGCCCTTATCCATTTCTAAGCAAAATATGTTAGGACAAGTATTTTTAAAAAATTAAAATCACCATAGATCTCATCGCTATGAACATGTAGCTACGTTTCCTTTTCACCTTTTGTTTCTAGAAAGAAATAGACTGATCAATGATCACAAGCATTTTTCTTAGGGTTGAATATATTCTCATTTTAGAGCTAGAGAAACCAAAGGCTCTAGAGTGACACAACATAAGCCATTAGATTTATTCATTCAACTGAACAGATTTCAGGGTCAACCCACGAGCCAGAACAGGAGAATGACCCACTTTGGCCAGATATCGCAGGGCTGGTCTTACCTGTGATCAAACTGGAGATGATTAGGGGGAGAATGAGCATCTTTAACATCCTCATGAGTATATCCCCTGGGAAGGCTATTAGCATGACCACATCTGGGTGGATGGGCGACGCCAAGCGAAGCAGCCCTCCGCACAGCGCCCCCAGGATGACACCTGGCAGGAAGGGGAGGAAAGTTTGAATTTACTTGTTGCCTCACGTACATAGCTCTAGGGCCTTACTTCAGTTCCAATGACCTTTCTCGTACTTCTCCAGTAGCAGGTGATAAGTAATGTGTAAGAAATTGAAGTTGATTTTTGTGACTGATAGAGAATTTCTCCAGCTGTTTAGTAGAGTCAAGGAAAGTCTCCCCAGCTTTCTAGGAATCATGACAGGGCAACTTGACCTCCACGTCTTTGAGGATTTTGTCTACTTGGAAAGTCGGAAATTGTGAATAGAAACAGCCCACAACCTGGCATGGAATTTAGTGCATTTCTTCCTTTTAAGCCAGATAGCAGCTAGAGGAACATGGTATTGTCGAAACTGGTGTGAATTCCCTTTTTTTTCTTCTATTTTCTTTGGCCTCCAATAATTTCCCATGGCTTAACCTCAAGAAGGTTTCTATGTCCTTTTACATAATCCTTAGACATGCTGATCTTAAGGGAGGGAAGATCAAAGAGACCTCTAAAAATACATATCATTTGTGAGGAAACAATGTGGACAGAGAGGCTGGCAGGAGTCTTGCACTATGCGCACGCAGGGAACCACAAGAAAATTTCAGAGCTCCCCCAGTGTGTACCCAACACAAATCACCCTGTGGAAACCACAAAGCAGGTCGGAACACCACGGGCTGCCACCAGGGAGTCGCCCCTGCGGACTTGCAGGGAGCTATGTGGCCAAGAGCTTGATCTTTTTTCTTTACAGGTAAAAACACATTATCCAGCTTCTTCAAGACCTATGATGAATGCAATGTGCTTCTGTGGAGATCAACCCCAGGCCCCTTCTATGCTTGCAGTGTTCTCTCACTAAGTAAACTCCCATCCTGAGTCTGGTGCTGATACCCAAGGAGACTGAGTGTCTCAAGGAGATGCTGCAGAAGGGGGGTTGAGTGTGGGTGGGGGGCAGCAGATGAGCTGTTTGTTGCTTCCCTGGGGCGCCTGAGTGACAGCACAAGGCAAGGGGGGCTGGAGGAAGAAAACGGCATGGCTGTCACGCCAAGAAGCTGCAGTGTGCCCCACTTTCAATAAACCCAGGGTGAAGACTGAGTTTATTGATGTGTAACCAGCCACACAAAAGATAACCCTGGTCTGGATGGGGCCTGGAGCCAGCAGCTGGAGCAGATCACGGTGTCTCAGGACAAATCGCTTCCACACTGATCTTACTAGCAAAGGAGCAAATGAGGAATGGGGAGTTCGGAGAAGGCTGGGTCTCGGGAGCTCTCTGCATGGGGTTTCTGCAACTGTTGCTTTATTTTGACACAGGTGTCCCTCTAAAGGTAGTCTACTGACCATCTTTTTTGGCATCATCTAGACGATTAGCAAATGGTAACGGCAGGCGGGCCAACTATGAGAGGCCCTGGGAAGTGAGGCCTCTGGTAGGTACCTTCCTTTCCAGGTAGCTGCCAGGACCAGCTTCCTCACAGTGCCAGGAGAGACCCAGGTAGGAGGGGCGAGTGGGGTAGCACCTACCGAAAACCGTCAGAGACAGCAAGAGATTCTTCCCCAGCTTGTCACACAGGCGCAGCCCCAGATGTCGATGCTTCGGCTCCTCCGAGCCAAGGTGGCTGTCATGCATCCGCACCTCTACCTGCTTGGGCATGCTGTTGGCACTAAAACAGAAGCAAAGGCCATGGTGAGAGCCTGCTGGGCATCTCCCCTGAGCAGGTGGCGACACTCAAGGAGCAGGAGGTGCAATGGGCCTTCCCCCAGCACCGCTGAGAAGCAGTGATAGAAAATAAAAGCCTGAGCAGCTCAGAGGACCCTCAACCCCAGTGCACCTATCAGCAGGGCACTGAGGCACATTGAATACCTGGGTGCCCTGTTATCTTGAGCCATCCCAGGAAAGAGAAGGTCCCTGTGTTTTCTATGACAGCCCACTACAGTAACACTCGGAGCTCTGTTTTCCAAAATGTGTCTTGCTCAGCTCACAAGCTCAAAGCAATGGAGCCTCAACCCCAGCTATGACTGGGTCCAAAACCCCACGTTCAATCACCCACAACAACAGCAAAAGATGAATCTTGAATGATCTAAGGTCAGAAGAGTCAAGGAAGACCCCAATCATGCATGATTAAAATGTCTCTGAGTGCAAGTCTTCTGCATCCTGGACAGAGGAAAGCTATAAATGCTGGTAGTACATGTTTTACCTCTTTTTTGAGGGAAATGTTTTATCTAGTTAAAACAGTCAATCCATTTAGTTTTAAAAGGTCACTTATGGTATCAGGTCTCTGCTAAGCCTCCCAAGAGTCAATGCCTCTCAGTGTCACCCTGTCACCAAGTGTGACTGTAGGAGACCTCATTCCTCAGATGCAGCCCAGCCCCTTTCTGGAAAGGGGTGAGCCCGAGCCGTGCTAAGAACCGGCCAGTGAAGCCCTCGCCAGCTCATGAGTAGATGCTTCTTCTTCTTCCAGTTTTGTCATTCCCCAGCCCATTAAGATTTTCAGTTTAAGCATGGGGAATGTCAGAGGGAGGACAGTTTTTTCCTCTGAACATGTAGGGCTTTTGTGAGCCACCATTTGCAATCATTATCAGGTGAT